TATCTCAAGGTCATCTTCTCAGTGCGGACATATTATTCTAGGGATCAGGATCCCCACATTTCCATTCAGATGGCAACCATCGCATTCATATTATTACGACCGACCCCTCAGTGCCATTGTAATTATCTTACGATTGGATACACCCATTCTCTAGCTTCGAGGATGGCGACCTTTGTATATACTATATGTACATTCAAACCGACCCCTTAGCACTGTTTTCCTCATATTACGACAGACCCCTCAGTGTCAGTGTATTCATCTCAAGACCGGGTCCTGGCATTGATGCCTTGATCAAGGCACCAAACACGACACTCTCTTGCCTGATGGCGACTATCCCACTCATATTATGACATGGTACTCAGCACCATCGTAATGATCTTAAAATTGGGCTCGCCTATTCCTGTCGTATTTATATACTTGAGTCGTCCCCTCAGTGATGACATTCTCATATTATGACTGGCCCCTCAGCGCGGGAGTAATCATCTTACTATCGGCTCCTCAACACCATCGTCGTGATCTTATGATCGGGCTCGCCCATTCCGTTCGAGGATGATGAACGTTGTATTATTTATATATTCGGGTTGACTCCTCAGTGCCAATGTTCTCATATTACAACTAATCTCGTAGCACTGGCATAACCATCTTCCGACTAGATCCTTAGTTCCATCGTCATGATCTTATTATGATCAGGTTCGCTCATTCCCTTCTTGGATGACAACCGATGTATTTAAACATTCAAACCGGCCCCTATTCTGGATCAATAATCATTAATTCTGAATAAGTTTAGTCTTGTTTTCTTATTAAAAGAACATTAACATAATCTTGCAGCATCAGTTTATGATTTGGCCCAGTTTTCATTTGTCTCCCAGGTCGATTGTTTGTCTACACAAGCCCGCAGGAGTTATTTTGCAGTTTTTTTGGGTTTCCAAATTTTCGTTTATAGATTGTTCATTCCAGCTCGTTTGCTTTTTGTTTTTGTTTTATTTTCTTTTATTTTCTAAATTGGATCAGGTCTAGTGCCCCCAATTTAGTCTTCGTTTACCCTTTTTCATGTATTTCGAGAAGGTATGCCTTCTATGGTGGGATTTTGGTTTGGCCCCCCTCCCCGTTTGTCTTTCTCTTTCATCTAATAAAATTTTCGGTAAATGTTCCCTAACATTTACCACACTGATTTCGGTGGTTTGCCTGCCGGGTTAAAAAAATAGTGGGTCACATACTTAGCGGACAACATTTATATTATTGTATAGTTTACACATTCATTTCTATCTACCAAACTATGTTTTTACGATGTAGGGCTTATCGGGCCCGATCCGTTTTGTTAATATACTCCTATTGGGAGATATTCATATTGTAAACCTAATTCCTAATCAATGAATATTCATACATCACTATTCATTGTCTACATCCTTCTCTTTAGATCTAAATCTCTCCTTAATAACATGGATTGGATCCAATAATCCATCATTTGAGCAAATTCAAGTGAGATTTCTCCCAAACATAAAATAATTCCTCCCATTTACAGAAAAATCCATCATTTTAGACGACCATCATATTTACGTATTCAACGCCTCAATGAATATTCATACCTCACTATTCATTGTCTCCATCCCTTTAATAACATGGATTGGATCCAATAATTCATCATTTTGGTGCATTCTTTGAGAGATTTGAGCAAAATCAAGAGAGATTTCTCCCAAAAAAGTCATCTCATTTACAAAAAAAAAATCCAACAAAAATCATCCCAACCGGAATGACGACCATCGTATTTATATATTCAGCGCCAACGTCCTCATATTGACGAATGATGTATTTATATATTCGGACTGACTCCTCAGTGCCAACGTCCTCATATTACAACCGATCTCTTAGCGCTGACATAATCATCTTCCAACTAGGTGCGCAGTTCTGTCGTCATGATCTTATGATCGGGTTTGCTCATTCCCTTCTCGGATGACGACCATCGTATTTCAACATTCTGAATAAGTTTAGTCGTGTTTTCCTACTAAAAGAACATAAACATAATCTTTGATGGTAAGCGTTAGTAAAGTAGCACTCGTGTGTCCCTAGAAAATCTTCACACTTTCTTCTTAGATACATCCCAATATTCCTCTAGTTTTTGTAAGGAATAGAGTATGTGTTTCATATCCTTTTCCTCTAATCTTTTGTTAATGTTTTCCATCATTTGCAATAGAGTCAAAAACTCACTATTTTTATGCTTGGGAATATGATGTAATAAAGCAAAATGGCTTACTAAACTGTTTGCGCTTCTTTGTTATGAAGCAGCAGTCAGTACATGCAATTTTCGACGCGATTTTCACTGTGGGTCATCCGAAAACGGTCTTTCTGTGTTTAGTACAAGGGCAAGACTGTGCACATCTGACCCCTCCTTACCCCACTGAAGGTGTGGTAGCCTTTGCAGAGCACTGAGGTAATGATGATGATGACTAGTGTTTTTTTACTCCGGGGGGCTGGAGTGATTAGGGCCGAAACTCACTCCATTGAGTTTCAAACCCTTATGTGCCTAGCGGATTTCGAACTCGAGACCTCTCACTAGGCACGGTAGTCTCACAACCAAATAGGCTGGAATGTTTGGTTGTGATAATGACGACTAGTATATGTTAACTACTCGATTATTTTGAACCTCCAAATCTTATCAAGTGGGCATTTCTTTAGAGAGAAATGAAGTGACCTAACCGTTGACTAGGTCAATTCGATTCATATTTTTTGAAACAATAGCTTTTCCACCGAATTTCTTAGGCCTTACTTTTCCTCCTAAACTAAAAGTGTTTAAACAAACGGAGCATGAGTGTGTTTCCACAAGGTATATCCCAAAGGATGGGACCAGAGAATAAATAATAGTGTTGAACCCCAAACCCAAGATGCCTTTGCTATCCACATATTCCCCAAAACAAAAGACCACTTGAGCACAATGACCATTGAGTCCTCGTGTACACAGAAACAACACACACTCACTATGTATGCTGTGAGCCTTGGGGACCAACCCACCCCATCATTTTGTCCTTACGCTTATCAATCAATTGGCCACATGTTCTTTATCCTCTCACAACTCACAAGTGTCGTCCCCTTTGATTCGGGGGCCATCTTTTCTTGCCTTAAAAGGAAGCAGGCCTGTTCCTTCTACCTCTGCCTGCCCACTCCACCAATGACATGTGTTCTTCTTGTTGTGATCCTAACAACAAACATCCATCTCATGTCGGTGTTACCACCCTCCACCTTTCCTAATTTAACTTCTCACCGCTGTATGATGAGAAAAACTATAAGAGGCAAAATGCATTAATAAGGATGGCAGACACTGTCGGGATTGACCGGACAATTATGATATAAGTTGAGTTTTGATTACACTCTAATAGAAAGAGAGTAAGATTTTATCAAGTCATTGTTTGAATTTGAAATCGAGACCTTTCTTAGCATGTGAGGTAGGCTCCGGTGCAAAATGCACTAAAAACATACACATAAGTGGTATCAAAACATTATCAATTCGTGTACAATTCATTTTTATCAAATAGCAAGACAGTTTCATAGCCGAGAATGATTTCAAGAATTCAGTGGATTCCTTAATTACACATTATTTGGTAGGTGGATCTCTTCTACACAATACGAGGCAGTTACGTTGCATCATCTTGACCAAAATTTTAAATGGAACCATACATTGAGCGACTTAAAGAAACCATTTATAGAGAATTGTTTGAACTATGACTAAAACATGGAGTACAAAGCATTCAACTTCCAAAAATAAGCTTACATATATTTTGTTTTTCTTAAATAGGATTTAACATTACATTTCTAACCTTGATATAATTAATTGTCCCGAAGATCTCTTGCATAGTTAAGGTCAGACCGGTGACAGTGGCGGAAGTGAACATTCTTGCAGCAGACCAGCATCGGTGGTCCAGCGACGTGGGGGCATCAGCGCTCAAACCCTATCAGTGTATTTTGTCTAATCACAAATAAAAAGTCCTAATTATGAAATTTTAAACTTCTAGGTCCTATTTTTAGAAACGGGGCGTGTTTTGGTCCTGTTTGAAGCATTCTTCCCTTTATAATTTCAAATTCAACCAAGTCCTTATATATTACAGAGTATGAACTACGGAGTAAAATTTAATCGAAAAAACATACTAGCAATATTACAGAGTTTGTGTGGAATGAATTAATTAATGTCATTATGAAACATACTCTAATTTTTTTTTTACCCCGGAAGGCAAACCACCAATATCTGTGGGGTAAATGCCGGATGTCATTTACCAAAGTTTTATTAATCATGACTAGGATATAAAAAGTGAGGCGGACTAGGCCAAACCCCACATGAGAAGGCATTCCTTCCCGAAAATAAATAAAAATATAGATTTGGGGGGCCAAACCGTACCCAAATGAAGAACACGTAAAGAAAATCAAATGCGAAAATAAGGAAAGCCAAAAAAAATACTCACTCTGTCCCACTAACAATGGAACAAGAGGAAGTGACACGCAAATTTATAAAAAGTGGTTTATGTGGTTGATGTTGAATTGATAAAGTAAGAATAAAGTAAGAATGATTTAGAACCACACAAACTTTACCAAATAAGGTATGAAACAATCTTAATGGAACAGATCGAAATAGTTAGAATATATGCACTACTCTAGAAGAAAAGTAAACATAATAATCATAATTAGGATTTTCAATTCCTATTGAAGACAATTTCTAAGTTAACTTACCTACCTAGTAGAAGTATTGGACAAAATTCCGCTGTTTAATACTCCTCAAGTGCTGTTTGTGAGATTGCCCGCTAGTCGTTTTTAAAGGATGTTCAGTGACAAAAACTAGGGCTATGAATATTATTTTACTTCTATATGTGAAGACTGATTGCAGTTAGGCAAATTTTAGGTAGAATAAGACAGAATATCAATAAGAAAATTGATCAACAGCCAAAAGGCCGAAAAGCAACCTGTTGCTTGGGCTGGAAAATCTGGAATTAATGAAAAAGGAGCCAAGGGAGGAAAAATGTAAATCTACACTGAGGCCAAATATAGAAAATATACAATGAGACACATGCTTTATATGTATATATGTAGTACTAGTAAGTATGAATTGATAGAATATAATGAAGTGCTTTGACATTTAAACATGAAACAAAAACTACTGAGTAAAATGTGACTAGTCACCCGGGAATATCCATGTGCACCTTGGTAGTTAATTACAAGTTGCGTAGTGCCAATGTTTTTAATTAGAAAGAAGGGAGATAGCTAGCAGGATAAGATCAGCCCAATTTTTGCGAGAGTACTATACACATAACAAAAAACAAAAAACATATCCCTTCACCACAAAAATCTAACTTCATGTCAATTAGCATCTTCCGGTTTCGCCATATTTTCATGTCCTAACGAGCAAGATCTTCTACGTAGCAGCATAAATCTCGATCACCGCGAGATTTCATGCACGTGAGGGTATCCAAGCTGCTCTGCCTCCCAGCTCAACTTCGAAGCAACCCCTTTGTGGCGAGGAACGTAGTCCTAAAACACACAAACAAACATTCAGATAACATCCTTATCAGGTGTGTTATGTGACAAATAAGTTTCAAATGCCCTCAGAAGAACCAAAAACATTCATTACTACCTCCAGTTTCTTGACCAGCTCCTTGGCAGCAGGTGCAGATACAATGATGTGTCGGGCACTCGGGCAGATGAAGCCCTCCTCCACAGCTTTGTCAATGAATGACAGCAATGAATTGTAGTATCCATCCACATTCAGCAACCCGACCTGCAAAAGTTAAAGGTTCAAGCTTTTGAACGTTGAAGATTGAATGAGGGTGGAAGGAAGCTAAGTCAGGACACATACAGGTTTATCATGGATGCCAAGTTGGGCCCAGGTTATGACTTCAAGTAGCTCCTCCAGTGTTCCATAACCACCTTTATCCAATTGACACATTATAGTTAGTCAATAAAAAAGTTAAAGGTACATAACCACCTTCAAGTAGCTCACATAACTTCCGCACAAATAATGAGTAAATCAGAGGTTTAAAAGATTATCAAATTTCTTTCTTTTTACTATGTATATACACTGCAGATGCATGGTGTTATCAAACTGAGCCAAGCCGAATAGGCAATACATTTTTGTTTTTTTGCCCTCATTTTGGTCATATGTTAGATATTATTCCCAGATAAGCTAGATTACTTTTTCAATTTACTCATAAAAGTAACTTATAACCAAACAATGCTATACATACTACACCAAGCATGGTTCAAATTTTAAAAATTCACACACCATATTTAAGATAATGGGAAGACTCGATCAATGAGACCTACAAGCCGGCAGTGGCAAACACCTTTTGTTCAAGGGTGTTAAGTTGACACCCAAATTTTTGATAATAAAATGTATTAAGACAAAAAAAATGATGTAATAATTTATACTACATACTATGTATATTATATTTTTATATGATATTTCTTACCCTTAACCCTATTTTCTAGTTTTTTCCAATGATTAAACAATATTATTGTACAATATTTCAATGATAAAATGTTTTAAAATGATTTTCTCAAATAGTTTTCCACAAAACGAATTTCGAAATTGAACATCCAACATTGGATAACAAGATCCGCCAAGGCAAGCCGATCAACCCGAGTGTTGAAGTACTCAATTCGGTTCCACACATTACTCAAGTGGCTCGGGCTCGACACAATACAAATCGAATCGGAATGTTTACTATATCATACTCAAACAGGTTTGGTTCGCTCACGCCCCTATTGTACATTCTGGCATACACAAGTCCACATAAAACAAATTTTATTGTTCTCAAAGACACAAATAATTTGTCTTTTGACTGAACAAGTTGTGTCTATGAGAACTACTACGTAATATATATTGCCATGTGAAGCTGGTGTAAAACAGTAAAAGGTGGGATAAAGGTTGGTGAAGAGAAAAAAATTTGTATTCTATGAAGACACAAACTTGTAAAAGTTTTTACAGGATCTCAAGTTTGAGGAAAGTTTTACTGCAGTGGACAGGAGAAGGCTATGAAGCCGATAAACGGATTAATTCTGATTCCTACTGCAAGATGTGGATAGGTCAACAACTAGGGTTTGAACTGTTGCGCTTTATTCATGGATCTTTGGGATTGTGAATGCTTCCAAAGAGATAGAGATCTTTTGTTTTATCGAATAAAAGATAATTGTAATTTAACAAAAAAAGGCTTCACACAGTTGCTTTCAAAAAAGGTACACACTACTGTGCTGGGTGCAAAGTGGAATAGTCAAAAAGGCAAAACATCAATTTACTGTTTCTTCTTTTGGAAAGTAGTTGATTGTATGGGAATGATTATGCTCCCTCTCCCCTATAGAGCCATTTGGTTAAAACTGAGAAAAACACAAGACAAACTCATGAGCATTTGTATTGTTTGTAGAAGTGTAAGAAATTAATGGAAAAACATCATTTTGTGTTGTTTTGAAGAGAGATAAACTAGTTGGGGCCATAAAATTTGTATAAGTAAATGTGAGAAATAGAATAAATTGTAAAAACATTGACATATTTAAACCTTTTTTTCTATGTAGCACCGATACGGATACGCGGAAACGCGGAAACGGGTACGGGGATACGACAAAACCAAAAAAGTAGGATGCGAATACGGGACCATATTTATAAATACTAAAAGTTATGGAGTTGTATTTATAAATATTAAAAATACATTTTTTAAATACTCATATATTATCCTCTAACGCCTACCCATTCATGGCATTGAAACATTTTACATTTTCAAAATACTTAGAAATAAATTCATATTTTATCTTATATACACTAGTGTATCTCAAAATATAAATATAGTCAATAAGTCATTAACTTAAAAGGAGAAATAAGTCAAACAACTATAGTTTTGAAATTAAAAGTGCAAGTACTCAAAGATCTAGAATAATGAAAATAAAAAACAATATTTTAAAAGTTCTAATACATATTTGCATTGGCGCTATTAATTTCCGGGGATAATTAGATTTAGGGATAGGAGGATGGGAGAATTAGAAATAGGCCCATTAGTTGTGTACCACATAAAAGCAAGGTAAAAATTATTTTTAGCTTTTCATTTTTTAAGAATTTTATTATATAAATTTTGAGTGTTTTTTTGGGAAGTTTTTTTTTAAAGTTGATACGTGTATCCGAAATTTTAAAATAATTACCAATAAAAGTGAAAACTTTTAAAAATTGCAGATACGGCCCGGGAACTTACGGTACGGGTATCCTAGAGTATCGGATACGGGAACGTTTCCGATACGCCGATACGGCACCCTAGTGAAGTATCTGTGCTTCATAGCGTTTTGTACTCCCATGTACCATATATTGAAGTTTTTTTTCAAAAAAAGTATTCAAATAAAACTTATTTACACCAATATAATAATAGTTGCTACTCCGTATATTATAATGTATGGTAACTTATATTAAAGAATTGAATATAAGTTACTATGATTGAGTTACATACTCTGTAACTACTATTCACATTTTTGTAAATAATCTTTATTTTGCTCATAAATATGTAATTATTTCTGAATTAAAAAGGTGAAAATAATATACTCAAAATTGTGTAGCTGAAAGAAAAATAATATCAAAAATCACCACTAACAAACATTCTTTACAAATATGGGTCACCTAAAACTAAAGATTGGAATTTAATATATGAAACTTTTTGGCCTTTTGTTTTGAATTTTGTTAATTAATATATTACATGGAAGAATTTTGTCTTTGCGCCAAATACATATTTTTTCTTATACTTTTTTTCCTACTCTCCTTCCAAACAACTTAAATATCCATCCATTATCCACTCATTTTCTCTTCCCTCTTAATTCTTTCTTACCCATTTCCCTACCTATCATCCAAACAACAAAACACCAAAAAGTACAATCTTTTCGTCATAACAGCATACCCCATAGTGATACTAATCTATATCCCCTTGGTCAAAATCTATTAACAAGCAAATTCACCTCTCAATGCCAACTCCAAAAACTGAAGTCCCGCCAAGAGAAAACAACCAAAAGGATGATATTAAAAAACTTTTCAGGATTCCAGACATCCACACACTTGTCTGGATACTCTACTCTCTAGGAAAATGTGAAGTCCAGAAAATGTAAAAAGTGTCCCTAGCCCCCTTCTATGCCAAACCGTAACTGAGCACATAGTTTTATCCGCAAGAATGTAACAGAGAAGTGACAACACTGAAAGAACTTTCAAAAGGATAAGGAAGAACCAGAAAAAAGAAGCAGCTTTATGCCAACTGTGGGGGCTGGGAAATGTGAAATCCTTAATACTTCAAGTAGACCAAATGTACAGACCTGGTAAGGCAATGAAAGCATCTGATTGTCTTCCCATCTCTGCCTTCCTTTGATGCATATCAGCAACAGCCTTCACTTCTCCTACTGTTTCTCCAGTTAACTGTTGTTGAAGGATACCAGATCCCAAAAGCAAAAAAAAAAAACAGGGGTAAGAATTGACCCTTTCGGGGAGTGGTGTGAATGAGAAAGATGACTTTTGGGCTTTTTCAGAGGTTATAGCTGCATAGGGGTTATAGAGTTGTTGTGCAGCGAGTAAAGTAGTAAAGCAATGATGAGGATTATAGCCCCAGCTGCAAACCTAGTAGCCTATGTACAACTTCTTGGAAATATGCATTTAAGTGGACACATAATTTAAGTTTGGGACAGGGATGGAGTTAAGATAATGATTCAAGAAATGATGTTATTTTACAAAAATACCCTTAAATGATGGAATGAGATATCAGGAAGACAGGAATAATCATCACATGTTGGGTTATTTTACATTTCCCTCTTCACACATATCTGGCACTCCAGTACATGTGGAGAAGAGTAAAACAACGAAGTATCAATTAATTATGCTACCCAAATGGCCTAAGGACCGTTAACTATAACGCACTAATGTGTTAGAGGGTGTCATTTAGCGATCCAAAAAGAAGCCGCGTTGGCAGCACAGAAGAACCCAATGGAAAACAAGAAAACATCACATATAAATAGTTAAATACCAATGAATATTATGATTACACTTCATGTCTTCATGTATAATTTATTAAGTACAGCTTTAACACTTTTCAAGAGCGGAAAGGCATACCTCCCGAGGCATGAGCGTCTTGGGAATGACTCTGCCCACAAACAATAACAAGACAAAACAAATTAGTTTCAGCACACACAAGTAAAGAAGGGAAATAACCATAAAAGAAAGAAATGGAGGTAATATGCTTTTTGGTTTGAGAGTTTTGAGGAAAGAACAAAAAGAAGATGTGTGGGGGTTATCCACTCACCCAATAACATGTCTGCCACCATCATGAACAGCTTGTGAAACCAGACCCATGAGCCCTATGCTGCCGCCTCCATATACCAAATCAATGTTCCTTGAAACCTTTAAAAACAACAAAGCTAGTAATTATTGACTAACCTCTTCAAGATTGACCAATCTTATGCACACATCAATGTTCCAAAAGCACATTTCCTTTATTTAAAATCCATAAAGGTGGAAAAAGTAAAATGGGTTTTTGACGAAACTCAAATTTAAGCCAAAAATATAAAAACTTCACGCGTAAGTATGTACTCCCTAAATCCCATGGCTGATACTTCTGCATTTTGGGGTTTACAGAGATAGAGAGGGAGAGAAGAGAGGGAGAGATGAAGCACTGAGAATATCACACACACCCTAAGCTACCCCATCAGACTCGGAGATGGGGTTTTGGCTGCATGCTTGTATAGCATAAGAGAAAACCCATTTTTCCCATGGACATTTACATAAAAGCTACCACACAAGGAAAAAAGAATCAACAAAGGAGTCCATAAACCAGAACGCAGTGTAAAAGGAGACACAGACGTAAGTTAGTGTAAAAAGACTCCATCTTTGCAACAAAACTTTCATGACGTTCCCCTCCAAGAAGACCAAGTCAAGTAGAAATTGATTAAAAGGGGAAAATAGAGAGAAAAAAAAGGTACCATTTTTGTGGGAAAATAAAAAGATAGAGAATAAAAGTAAGCAATAGTAAATACCAGTTCTTTTCCAAGCTCAACGGCAGCATCCTGATAGCTGCTCTTCTTCCCTTGGCTACTCCCACAGAACACACAAATCCTCTTGAATCTGGATGCCTCAGTCTTCTCCATATTCTCCACACTAGGATTTGCAGAGAAAATAGATATTTTGCTCCGTGGCTTAGAAGAGGCAGAGTGGACAATGTATGGAAATAGACGAAGTATGTGTATATATAGATATTTTAGAAATCGTTGATGATAAAGAAAAGTAAAGTAAATGAAAATGAATAAAAATTGGAAGTGGAGAAGACGTGTGCCACAGAACAAATGTGCATAGACCTTTTTGGACCTCCCCCAAACCACAAGGGCTTGGTTATATAGTGCTCAGCCACGTGACCAGCACCTAGACGCTTGGGTTCATGAACTTAGCTCTGGCGGATCCCATTATTGTTTTCTAGTTTCATATTCCTCTCCCCTAAAATCTTAATTAATTCATTTTGTGTTGGATTTTGAATTCAATTTACTTGGGTTTGTGATTTTTTTATCAAGGGCCCTGCATTCATTTCCCTTTAGTAGTAAAATCATGTTCATGTTTCTTCTCAAGTAATTTCACTATCACGCCACATTAGGTTACACCAATCAAATCAATACAATTAGATAAGGTTATACTAGTATTTATTTAACATATAAAATCAGCTCCCTCAATTAGACCGCAACCAAAATGGAACTAAAAAATAGCTGAAAGTAAATAGGTCTTGTGTGCTACTCCCTATAACAATATTAAAAGGGCATCTAGATATCCGTTCTGAACTGCTCCGGGTTCTGAACTGCTCCGGGTTAAATAGATAAAATGTATAGATTGAAAATTGTAAAATTGTACGAGCGTAAAATAACTATGTAGTGCTTTTAAGGATATGAAAGATTATGTTCGTAGGTAACTAACAACTAACAGGAAGAAAAAAATTATGTGTACTAGTGCATCATGCAATGGTGGCGGCGAGGCGCAATGGTGGTTATGAGGGAGTTACCGTATTTTTTTTGAATGAAATGTAAGTATATATTAAGACTCACCCAAAACAACATGAAGTTAAATACGGAGTAACATGGAGCTAGGGCTGTTAACGAACCGAGCTTTTATCGAACTATTCGAGTTCGAGCTCGGTTTCGAACCTAACGAGCCGAGCTTAACGAGCTTTCGAACTCGAACCCGAGCTGAGTTTTAAGTTCGAAATATTAATCGAGCCGAGCTCGAACATAGTAGTATTAGGCTCGGTTCGAACTCGAGCCTATCGAACACCCTGAAATTATAAATATAATTTATATATAATAAAATTTTAAATATAATTAGTATGATTTTAAGCATTTAAATATGTTTATTAACGAACCGAATACTTGTCGAATCATTCGAGCACGAGCCTATTAACGAGCATCACCTAAAATTTTAAAATCGACCATATTTATCGAGCTTAACGAGCGCTCGGTTCGAACATCGAACGCTTATCGAGCCGAACACGAGCCTCATATTGATTTTTTTAAAGTAAGTTATTTATAATGCTAATTTTTTAATATGTGAAAAAGTCCTACCGAATAATTTATTTTTTTATATTTTTAAATTTAATCATAAGTAATGCTATCTTTTTAGAGATTTTTTTTATATTTTCCATTAAATAATACGAAAGTGAGCATATTGTACTAAAGCTATTATAATTAATTACTCCGTATAAATAGTTCTTCTTTTCTAAAAATCATATTTATTTTTTGAAAATATTCAAATTTAATTGAAACCTCAAAGCAGAAAACATTGTATTATTTATTGTTATTGATGTGCTGATTTTTAAAAAATGCAATTTTAGTTAGACCACAAATGGAATGATAATGACTTCTATTAAGAAGATAATTTTTTGAGTATATATAAAACAACTATCCTCATCCCACAAAAATTGGTTAAATTGATTTTTGTTTGGTCAATTGTTGTAAATTTTGGCCAACTTCAATGATTCTAATTATTTTACTTGTGTGAAATTTGTAAATTTTATACATTTAGAAAAGTAATTTTAACGAATAAACTTTTCTATAAAATTTTCATATTTTAAATAGTTTCATATTGAAATATACAATGGGTCAATGATTTAAAATGACGTTGGCGTTCTTTTTTTTCATTCTACATAGGTCATAGGGCATAGTACAATGATTGACGTTATTGAGATCAATTAACATTCTATTTATCGTATTCAATCTAAGAGAAAAAAACGTGTTATAGGTATGTATTCCAAATTTACACAATTTGGGTCATATACCGACTTATTTCTTCTTCAGGTCACGGATTGATAATTCACTCATAGTTCCCGGATGGATAAATTTCCATTTTTCTAAAGCCCGAGCATCCATTTTTGGACCAAAACATTTGATAGTTATTAAGTAATAACTATTTTTATTCTTTAATTTACATATAACATCAAAGTCTCAAACGGAGTATTCGGGTTTGATACTCCATAACATTTGAGGCTTTGAATTCAAGAATTGGACAGATAAATAGTTTGAAACGAATATATAGGTTTTACATTGACGTGAAATGTCTTACTATCCCACCATAACTTTCGAATAGATTATGACATTTTCTTACATTCTCTTATCAACCAAATGGACAACATGGCTTGCATGATGTCAATGGCTTACCACTTAATTACCTTTTAGGTGGGTTCAATTCGGTCAATCACATCATTTATAAGTTAACACATAAAAAATAAATAGCCAAATTTCACGGTACTCTCAAGGTACCATACTTTGACTATGAATAATATATTGATAAAATAATGACTTAGATAATAAAAAAAATAATGACTTAGATCAATCAAATGTATTATATATAACCATATAGGTATAGTACTCTTACTTATTTGCACTGTTCTAAAAATCGGCCTAGGCGGACCGATTAATCGGCCTAGGCGGTCTAGTCGGCCCTAACTGTAGAGGCCTAGTCGGCCTAGTCGGTCAAAAAATCGGCCTAGTCGGCAAAAAAATCGGTCTAGTCGGCCGCCTAGGCGCTAGGCGCCTCTCAACCGCCCGACTAGCACCTAGCGAGTTTTAGAACAATGCTTATTTGTGAGGTACTGTAGCATTCACCGAACAAATAATGTATTTGATACGGTGTCCTTATATCATCAAAAGTATTAGAATGAACGGCGTAATCGGGAAATGTAGTGAATTGTGACGAGTCAATATAAAATTTTCTCTCAATATTACTCGGTAGTTTTTATACTATACACAATTAATTTGCATAGTGGTGTGAGCTAAGAGAATGATGTATGTATGGGAGTTTTGGATAGATAGATGAGGTGATTGAATGAAGCTAGAGATGCATGAGACAATATATATATAAATATGAATGGGGTGGCTAGTAATTTAAGTCATTGTACCCTAACCCTCTCTTCACACCAAACATTTTCTTTCTTATGCATGCCCTCCCATTCCCGTCCCCATATCACTCCATCTTAGCTTGTCTTTCCAACCCACTCCACTTCTCTACCGGCTGCATGTCCTAGTGCTTCATTTCAGGCCTATATACAATAAGTATCACATTAATTTGTTGTTTTGATTAATCATTAAGAGCCTCCATCATCAATATATACGTAGTATATAGTAAAGCCTGCGGCAGTACTATAGTACGTGCGTAGTTATTTCTTTCTTTACCTTCCAATCATATCCATCCTTAGCTCAAACGAAACAAAGGCTAGTTAAAGCGTCACCATTCCTCATGTACTCTACATAGTAATCAAGCTAAGTCGTCCTCTATTATTCAGTTCATTCAATCAACTAATAAAGATGCCACGTAATCTCTTGACTTTCTAGTCACTTCATAAAGTACACATTTCCTCTATCTCATTTTAGATACTGTATCTCAGGCTCTCAGCTCCAAATTCACAAAAAAAATTGTGAGATCCGAAGAGTTTTTTCTTGTCTGTAAACCTCGTTCACAGACAAACCAGTCTTGTTTGTCTGTGAGTGATGTTCACAAACAATAAAAAGTCTTCTCACGGACAATGGGTATAAGAGTGTGTATAAAAGTGTGTGCAAATAGTAAATTAACTTGCCAATTTTACTGTCTAATTGGTGAACATAATTTTTTCTTTCTAGGGAGATCTTACTATGTGTATGTCTGGTGATTCTACTTGACTATTTACAAATTATATTTGACAATGTAACTAATACATTTATCCATACATTCATCGCTGACGTTAGATCAAATAATACATTAAGTTCTTAATATGGAATAATACCACTTACATGATTATATCTGCAAAATTTTTCATATTTTCCAATTGAGTTTTTACCCGTCAATTGAACTCTTAATTAATTCTAAAAATCCTGCAATTATAACTCAATTTGAAACCTGGGGCCGCAGTTTGAGTGGCCAAATAACGGTGTACAAATGGGTCAAAATGAATCTTATTCAAATTCTCTTAAACAAATAATCAAAGTAGAATCGAGCTTAACTCTAATACCATACTAATACATGATTTATATAACTTAATAGCTCAAACTAATAAGAGGAGTGTGTTATAATCTTATAGTGATTTATTTTGTTATATATAGTAGGGAGTATATAATATGGGGTAGGACAAATACTTCAACACCAGTCATTACTCATGCACCTTAACTTTTTTTGCTTTTCTTATTTTCTTGAGTCTTATTCTCTATATTTTTAGTCACCTAAGGTTTTTCCCATTACTATTTTTTTTCAACATGATCGATTTTATAAATTTGAATTTGATAGTGTGTGTTTACTGTTTAGTAATACAAAGTACTAGTATTCATTTATATTTATGTTTATGTATGAAGAACTTGTTGACAATGGCAAACGTAAGATTCTATATTTGGCAAAATATATACTCATTTCGGGTAGATGTCTACCAATACATACGTCGTATTTATAAAAAAAAAATGGAACTTATGTACTCTTTCAATCTCATATCAAGGTTCACATAGTAAAGTATCGCTATTTTTCTTAGGTAAGTGATTTAATATCTCAAAGTAGTTTGATCAAGAAAAATATTCGAAAGAGGTTAAAAATTGAATAAGAGTCTAATTAGTAACATTGAAATTGATGGAATCGGCTCAGATTGGTAAAATTCTAGGTAAAGAGCTGAATTTACGTAATCTGCTGAATTAGACAAAAAAAAGCTACTCCGGTAGAATATATTTTGTTAATAAAATAAAGAGAAAACAACTTTAAATAATACGTAGTACTAGTTATCATCCATAAACCAATAATAATATATACTTTGAATATGATTTGTAATAATATCAAATATTTGAACGTAGACCAAAAATAAT